AATGCTATAAACTTAATTTAATTAAATAATTAATCACATTCTTAATTAATAAATCTCCTTAGTCCATGCCATAAAGCAAGCAAGCCCACCTCTCAAAAAAGAGCAATATGTACGTTACAGTAGCCAATCAACAGCAAAGTATACTGTATACATAAAGCAACCCAAAACACACACACACACACACACACACACACACAAATTATGCCCAAACCTCAACCTCCACAAACCTTTCCTTAAACCCAACTCTACCCAAAACGACACACACAAACGCACACCAAAATCATCATTAAAAAAAATAAAAAATAAAAATAATGACGGGTATTATACAACTGCCTTCGCCTTCAAGCTCCACTGTCGTCGCACCTAAAGATAATGATGCCTTTCGCCAACAAACCTGCTTTCTAAATCGCGGATCCTTCGTTAAATACAGCTCGTTGGATCTATACGGCGGATCGAATTATCCGACGGCTAGAAAAGCTCGGCAATCGGAGGAGGCGGAGTCGTCGGAGGAGGAGGAGGAGGAAGAAGGGTCTGTCCTGGCCGTGGTGGTGGCGGTTCTGAGGAAGTATTCTCCGGCGGGGTGCAATAGAAAGTGCGACGAAAGTTGCGGGGTCGAGGAGGAATTAATGGAAATCGGGGTGCCCACGGAGGTCAGGCACGTGGCGCACGTGACGTTCGATCGGTTCGATGGGTTTCTCGGGCTGCCGGTGGAGTTTGAGCCCGAAGTGCCCAGGCGGCCTCCTAGTGCCAGGTAATTAATTCTGTGTGATGAATTTTATTTATTTATATATTTATATATTATTATGATTAATAATTAATAATTAAGGATGAGGAATTTTAATTATATACCCAATAAATTGTTGGATTAATGAAAATGTCCACTAACTGAACTAAACATTATGCCCATATGAATTATTGATTTTTTATTTTATTTTATTTTATTTTATTTTATTTTTTTTACAATCAGTGAGTAACTTTTGTATTTTTGGTAAGATATTGCTTGATTTTTGTTAGTTAATGAGTATTTTTTAAATTAGAAAAAAATATTTGAGAAATTTAACATTTATCCCAAAATTATTAGGCATATTTTATAATTTTGGTTGATAAACTAGTGGAGCTAAAATTGCAAGTAATTTAGTCCTACTATTTGCAAAATTTAATTATTATTTATCTTTTGTTAATATTAGAGGGAAAAATTGAAAATAATTTATAGTCCTGCGATAAACAATTATGTCATATTTTGTGATCTTGTGATTTTCTTTATGGGATGAATAAGAAAAAAGAATGAAAGGTATAAAATATAGGAAAATGCTACGGTCCTGTTACGAAACTATTCCGTCGAGTTTGTAACCATTAGATCATCATGTACCCGTCTGAAATAGTTGATCTAACGGTTATAAATTCTGAAAGAATAGTTTCGTAACGAGATCGTAGCATCTTCCATAAATGTAAGTGTTAAGTCTGTAAATGGAGTTTGAACCGTCAGATCAATACACGATCCAACGGTTTATAAGAAAAAATTAAAATTCCTTTTTTTTTTTTTTTCAGCACGAGAGTTTTTGGAGTTTCAACAGAGTCCATGCAACTTTCATTCGATTCAAGAGGAAATTGTGTGCCCACCATATTATTGATGATGCAAAGGCGCTTGTATGAACAAGGCGGCCTGCAGGTAAAATAAAGTCAAAATTGATTTAGGGACCTTTTTTATCTTAAGAATTGAACATTTTTGCTATTTGGTTTTATGATTTTAAAATTCAATGTAATTTCAGTCTCTTGGGACCGAAAATGCAACAAAATTTAAATTTAAAGAACTTATATAGTTGCTGATAAAAAATCTTTTGGATGGATCTTTAATTAGCAATTTATGTCCTGTAAATTTGAATTTTGTTGCAATTTCAATCATTTTGGGACCGAAATTGCAGCAAAATATTAAATTACAGGATCAAAAGACAAAATATTGAAATCGTGGAACTAAAAATGCTACGGCGTTAAACCAGCAGGACTAAAAATGCAATTTTTCTTAAAATAAAATATTACAAATCTTGCTTTTTTTTTTTAATTATATAAAATTAAAAATTCTATAATAATAGAATTTGTAACAAAAAAAAAAAATTAAAAAAAATAATAGTTTTGTGTTTCTTTCTAATTCCAGTATGAAGGGATTTTCAGAATCAATCCGGCGAATGGCCAGGAAGAGCATGTTAGAGAACAACTGAATAATGGAGTTATCCCACACAACATTGATGTTCATTGTTTGGCAGGCCTGATTAAGGTACTTTTTTCTCTATAACTTCTCATAATACCTAAATCTTTTTTGTTATTATTATTATTTTTTCCTTTATTGTACATATATATTTATTTAATTTTCTCCTTTAGGCTTGGTTTAGAGAGCTACCAAATGGAATATTGGATTCTCTGCCTCCGGATCAGGTGATGGGAGCTCAAACCGAAGAAGAATGCGTTCGTCTCGTGAAGCTTCTGCCGCAAACCAAAGGCGCGCTGTTAGATTGGGCCGTCAATCTAATGGCTGACGTTGCTCAGCTCGAGCAGTTCAACAAAATGAACGCGCGTAATGTCGCCATGGTTTTCGCCCCTAATATGACTCAGGTTAGCTGGGAAAAAAAAATTAAGATATCATACTTTATAATACAATATAACTAAAATTTTATGATATTTTTGTAGTATAAATAATAGGATGACATTTGATATTATAAGTACTCATTTTTGCTCGTTGAGTAAAAAATATCATAAATAATAGTATGACATTTGATATTATAAGTACTCATTTTTGCTCGTTGAGTATGACGAGTTGGCCCGCCTAACAGTTAGGTTGCCTTACACAAGAATGAAATTGTCATAATTAAAAAAAAAAAGAAATCATAAACAAAAGTATGACTGAATATCACATTTGATAGTATAAGTATGTATTTTCATTCATCGAGTATGACGGGTTGACCTGTCTGCCTAACGGTTAGACTGTCTCACACAAAAATTTGTGTGCTTTTTTTTTGTCTTTGTTTTTGTTGTCGATTCAGATGGCTGATCCTCTGACGGCACTAATGTTCGCTGTGCAAGTAATGAATTTTCTGAAAACGCTCATAGAAAGAGCCTTGAGAGAAAGGGAGGACTCTTTATTCGAAGCTGGTCCGGTGGGCCCCACGGACGGTCGGGATGGAGAAAATTACGAGGAGGGCGAAATCGACAAGCCAGAAGAACCGGCGGCGTCGAGTCCGACCCACGAACTTTTGAGCTCAATCGAGAACCTTGATGCCGAAAATGCCCCTGCCGTAGTGGGGAGCATTAAAGCCCGGCCGTCGATTAGGCGGAGGGGTAGTATTGGAAAAGACGCTAGGAAGAAAGGTTTGAGGAAATACGGGGCACAACGCGCGGCTGGCAAAGGAGAAGAGAGAGATAAGGAAACGGAAAATAAGGAAAAGAGTGTCTTGCGGCGCGTGAGCTCGCGTACGGACAGAGTCGAGACATGGAGGTGAACAAAGAACATGGTATCGTGGGACTATGAATACGTAGTTAAACATATATATGTTTGGCTGGTAAACTGGAGAATTTTTCATTTTGTTCATGTTCTTTTTCTCTTTCTCTTTTCTGTAGTTAAACTTTGCTGTGTAACTAATGTTTTTCTTTGGGTTTCTTTGTTGGGTGTGCTTGAATTTGGAGTTACTACCAAAATGGATGAAAATTTCAGTGTGTAATCTTGTATTTGGGATACTGCATTGTCTCTCAAATTATGTCTATAGGTTGCCTTTAATCACATTGTCCTAATCGCAGTCTAAAAAACTTAATTAACAACTAAACACATGGAATTTTGGTGTGGGCCAAGGAGGATGCATAAGAACAAAGTAGTCTGAGTCCCTCGGTCGTCTGTAGCTTTTGCTGCTCGAGCACTTGACTCAAAACTCGGCTCGAGTTTGACAGAGCGCGAATCAGGCTTGAGCACCTTATAATTGAACTTGAGATTGTACATTATAAGGTAGGTTGCTTGATGAGCCACTCGAGAATAAATGCAATTTACCTAAATACCCAAACTTGAACATAATTCGAGCCAAAGTCTAGTGAAATTTTGGTCTATCTCGAGTATTTATATATTTTTTTTATGAGTCAATCCGAAACACAGAAAGTCGAGTTCGAGTGACAGTGAAAGTAACCGAGGTCGGATCTATAAAGCCAATACTCGGCTCAACTCGTGCCACACCCCTCAAACATGGCATCACAATCCGATTATAAAATGCGGCAACCAATCCACACTCAAGCCCGAGCCTTGATCAAATCCCGAGGACGAATCCCTACCATCCAATTCCAAACCATCACATAAAAGCATTTCCGTTCGGCCCTTGAAAGTTGAAACATGCACGAGCGTTGGGCTCGTTCCTCACGACACCAAAGTGGATCTCCGAGTAACAGTTGACAATAGACATGACATTTAGCGAATGACGACATGCCGATTATAGCCATAATAATGCATATTTTTCACTCAATTTTTTTCCCAACTTTACTTAAAACATCTTGAATGTTTGCAAATTCTTTTTTCTTTTTTCTTTTTTTTTTTTAATTAAAAAAAAGCACTTTGCCTCATGAATATATCCATAATCGAGCATATTTCATGGAACAATTGATCAGATTAACTATATATGTTTGGAAAATCAGTAATATAAAATTGGGTTTGACTCAGTTTTGACTTTATTTTCTTAAAATTAATTTTCCGTGAGTGAAAAATAAATGATTATAGTTAGCCATAAATGAGCACGTAAAATGATAATTGTGGTTATCGAAGTTCAATTATAGGTTCAATTGTTAATGACTTAGATGTTACAAAGTTGAAAAGTCATCCCCCACCTGGCTGGAAGTAGGGGTGAGCGTGGGTCGGTACGGTTCGGAGATTGATAAATCTCCAGAACCGTACCAAACTTCGGAGATCTCAAAATTCAATCTCAAGAACTGTACCAAAAAGTCGGTTCGGTTCAGAAATTTTTATTTTTCAGTTCGATTCGATTCGGTTCGGTATGGTTTGGTTTGGATCTTCGAAGATTTTTTTTTTTAAATTATTTTTGAATGCCTATCTAGTTATATTTTAATTTTTATATACTTTAAAAAAACAACATTCATCAATAATTCATCATATTGAAGATTTTATTTTGAAATCAATTCTAGAAGTAACGGTACCGAACTTCGACACTCGAGTATTACCATGTTGGGATCTTTTTAGTTGCTTTACTTGTTTTAGTTGGTTTAGTTGGTCAGTTTAGTTTGCGAGTTTTATTCTAACGTTGCTAGCGGAAATCTAGGCGTTCTTCTGACCTGTCCTCCCACTTTATTCTCCCGTTGGGAGCGTTCTATCTTTGTTATACCCCGAGTTTTATTAATAAAGGAAAATACTAGCTTTAAATTTTAAAGCTAGCCTTTGTTAATAAATAATTATGTTTATGTTCAAGTTCAAGTGATTTAGTCAGTCATATTCCAAGTTCGACTATTAGTCGATAAGTTTTCAGATTTAATTCCGATTCATTTAATTAGTTAATGAGATCGGAATTAAAAAGCCAAGTTGACGAACTATTCGAAATATTAATGTTCGGATTAATCGTCGAAGTTAAGAATATTCGAATTATGTTCCGAGGTTAAGTTATAACCGAAAATGAGTACGTTCGGTTAAGGTTACCATATATGAACGTCGTCATTCCTATACAGCGACGCATTCACATTTGTACACCGTCCATCGTTCATTGAGTAATGGTCATTAACCTTTGCTTAATTAACTTAATCCATGTTTAAGCTAATTAATCATAATTAGCTTAAAGATAATCATGATTAGCTTAATGTTAATGATGATTAATTAACATTAATGAGGATTAGTTAATGTTAATCATGTTTAAAGATAATTGTGTTTATCTTAGCACCAAGCAAGCTTAGCACGACCATTAGTGCACATAAGCTCGTCTTAGCACATCTAATGGCCGTGAGATTTTGGGTCTCCACATCTTCACGTGCCATTTCATCATGATACGGACACATGGAAGCTGGTGGAGAAGGGAGCGATGACTAAGCCGTTAAAGAGCCACCTAAGGCCCTCATCGCACGACAAGTGGCGAGAGGCCATTGGCCGAGACTTTTCCACCAATTTTCACCAACGTTCAGCTTCTATTAAATCTGAAAGTTGGGTGTAAAAATTGAATGTTACATCTAAAGTAAACACTAAGCAAGGTTAGGCAAATTAAGTAAGCATGTACGCACAAGCTTGTCGGGCGAGTGATCATACGAAACCTTGTGCAATTCATCGAGAGTTTGAAGAGGTAACTTCAGTTCTAACCTCCTTTTATGTTTATTAAGTCATGTTAATACTGAATCAAGTAGTTCATGTCAAGAAATTCATGAAGAGAATATGATATGTTCAAATTAGATCATATTGATCCTCACCGAGTGATGTCCGATTATGTTCGAATAACACCGAGTAATTCATGCTTATTTGATCATGTTAGATCATTTTAAGTCCAGTTATTTCATATTAGTCGAGACAAGTTGAAGTTTGGTTCATGATTTGGCTCAAGGAAGTGAGCTGCACACGTAGTGCACGCCCACGGGCCGTAGTATATGCCCTCTCGTGTTATCTTTCAATATGATTAGAATTGTTCGAGTAATCCTTGTCCCAATAGTCTTTAAATAGTATATGATGATCAGTTTCTTGAAGTCATTCGAGAAAAGTTCATGTTTACTCGAAAAATTGGCTTAACGCCGAACACGGGCGTACGGTGCGCACGTCTCGACGCTACGTCAGTTCATCGATGAAGTTCATAGCTGTTGAGTGAATTCAGCGTGTATAGTCATGACAAGTCATATTAGGTTGTTTTATGTTGGTTTGGTCGAGAGTAGTCGATAAACGGGCGACAGGGGTCGGTCGTGGCAGAGCTGTCCGCACGTAGCGGCAGCAACACGCCAGCAACCAGTCACTGCAGCGGACAACGCGCAAACACGCCCAGTCGGGCGTCGCGCGTAACCCCTGCACGCAGCGGTAGTCCACTGGCAGTGCATGTGCATGCTAGTTGTGCACTGTGCACGCCAGTGCACACAACCACGCACCCAGTCGCCGCTGCGACGCACAACAGCGTCCAGCAGCACAAGTTATGTGCATGCCTGCGCACATAGCGCATGGCAGCATCCAGCCCGGTGCCTGCGATGTGATAGCGCACACCCGCAGCGTCCAGTCGCACGTCGATAATGCCAGCCGTGCCCGAGGGCACGCCAGTGGGCGTCAGCGCGCATGTCCGTGGCCTGCGCCGCACTGCAAGCCGTGCAACAGCCACGCCATGCCCAGTTCATGCCCAGCCATGGTCATGTGCACGCAGCACCCTCGACCGTGGCCAGAACAGGCCCTCAGCGGCCATGCACGTACCAATCCCGCCAGCAGCCGTGCCCGTAGCCTTGGCAGGTTCGTTGGCCGAGTCAGTCGCTGACCGACCGGTCCGAGCAGACCGGCGGTCCGGCCAGACTAATTTAAATTAGTTCGGACCGGTTTCTTCATATTTTATTATATTAAGTCCCGATTCATGATTTCAGTCCCGTTTTCAGTTAAATTCCAAGTCCAGTCAAGTTCAATAAATTTATGTCAGTTCAGTTCCGAGTTTGTTCAATTCCGGTTGTACCGGTTAAATCCAGATATCATGTTAAAGTCCAGTAGAGCATCTTAACATATTAATAAGTTATTTTATCAGTCTGAGCATAGTATTTAGTAATTGTTTATATTATTTTCAGTTTGTTCAGGATCTAGATATCAGCACTTACATTTTTAAATCAGTAGTTCATGTGGGGACTCAGACTGGGTATTACATTGGTTATAATTGCTCTATCATGTTTTAAGGTATGTATATGAGTTATTCCACTCTGGGTGGAGGCGCAGTAGCCTTAATAGGCCATCCCGAGTTCCGGCGGAGGCGCAGTAGCCTTAATAGGCCATCGGAATGTGCACATGGACGGACATAGTGTCCGAGGAGGTTCAGTTCAGTTACAGACCTTGTGTCTGGAGATTACAGTTTACTTATATATACCTGCAGTCATGATATTGATATTATTATTGATGTTTACTTTAGTATGAGTTTTTGCGGAGTACAGTGTTTTTAGTACTCACCCTCCCACTATTATCATGTTTTTCAGGTTATGAAGTCGGGACAGAGGAGTGAGATGACGGAGCTGTTTGGGATTATGCTTATAAAGCTTAAATTATGTTTTGTACAGTTTGAATTTGGCATAGCAGTGCCGTTGTTATTTTCAGATAACTTGTTTTCACGATCACAGTACTGCTATCCAATTTTACCACTACAGTTTCCGCTGATGTTTTACTGTTCGTCATTCTTAGTCAAATGAATCAGTCGGCGAACTAGTAGTTGGTTTTTCAAACCAAAAGTCCAGATTTTTCAGTTAGTTATGTATTTTAGTAGCACTCCAAATCAGTACTTCGCAATGTAAAATGTTTTATTTTGAACGTAAT